ATAGCCATGATCCATCCTCCACTCCCCCAAGTCCGCATAACTGCCAGAAAGGAAGTGGTTCGTGGTGTGGGAGGAGAGTGATACTGGGCTGCTTCAGTACTTCAGTGTGCTGGACAGGGAAGGCCTTCAGGAAGTGAACACGTGAGCCAAGACCTGAAGGACAGGGTCCAGCCACAGGAAGATGGGTGAAGAACATGCCAAGCCAAAGGACAAACATGCACCAGGGCCCCAGGGCAGTTGGGCTGGACACATAAAGAGGTCTGGAGGGCTCGGGGACCGAAACTGTGCAGAGACTGTGCGAGGTCAGATTGGGCACAGCTCTGGGCTGTGGCTGGGTTTTTTTTTTTTTTTTTTTTTTTTCTTTATAACAGGGGAGAGACAGGGTAGGGGTTTTTGATGGGATCTCATTATCCTGCGACATCCTGGCCCAGCTTCACAATTACTAGGATTATGGATACGTGCAACTGCACCTGGCATGTCCAGGTTGGCCAGAGAATGCAGTGTAGGCCTCCTGTGCGGCCTGCAGCCTCCGGTAGACCCTGCTATCTGTGCACCTCTGCACCTGAGCCTGTGGCTCTGGTTTTAAAAGTGTGATAAGGGATTTCTACGGGGCTGGCAGGTGGCATGTTGGTTAAAGGCGCTGGACACCCACATGGCTGACAACAATTTGAGTCCCAGACCTGGTGCCTTGCATTCTCGCTTTCCCTTTCTCTTTCTCTCTGCCTCTCTCTGATCAAATTTTAAAAATAATAATAACAAATGGAATGAAATAAATAAATATTTCTTTAAAAAAAAAAAAAGGAATCTTTACGAATGGTTTTCTAGGGCCGTCCTAACAAACAACCACTAACTAGATGGTGTTAACAGAAATTAGTTCTCACATTTCTGGATGCCAGCAGTTCAAAATGAAGTTGTCAGCAGGGTTGAGCCCTCAGAGGTTGAGGGAGGATCTGTTCATGCCCCTCTCTTTGCCTCTCGTGGCCAGAAATCCTTGGCATTCTTTGGCTTGTAGACACGTCGCTCCAGCCCCTGCCTCTGCTGCCACCGGGGTTTTTCCTATGTCTGTGTCCTTATGTCCTTACATGGCCATTAGGACACTGCTCATACTGGTCAGGGGCCCATCCTAATCAAGGATCTAAAGACCTTTACAAAGACCCTCTTTCTAGGGTCCAGCAGATGGTGTAATGTTACATCGCTGGATTTCCACATAGTCCACCACAGTTCGAGTCCCAGACCTGATAGCTTAAAACTCATGCTGGGCGCATGTGCGTGCAAGCCCAAAATCTCAAGAGGAGAATGGAGGAGAAGGAATTGCGTGGTCATCCCCCTGGGGGGCGATTTCTCACTCTTCTGTCTCTCTGTCTTTCTCTGTCTCTCTGGCGAGTGCATGTGCTATATAGCAAAAATCTCTAAAACAAACAAAACAGACTCTCTTTGCAAATGAGGTCACATTCTAACGTTCCCATTGTACATTGTCCCCCCGTTGGGGGATACTGATCAACAATTAGAGGACGTTTCGAGAAGGCTGCTCTGAGGTAGCAGATGGGTCAGAATGGCCTCTGGTCCTTGTGACAGGGACATGGAGGTGGCTGATGGGAAGAAGTCACAGGAAAGACAGAGGGAGACTCCTGGGTCTTAGCAGTAGCCCTCTGCCAGAACCCCTCCATCTATCCTTGGCCTTTGCTAACTTGCCTGTCCTTGCGGCTTCTGTGACACTCCAGGCACAAGGCCTGGCTCTGCCTCAGGGTACCCTCCTGGCCTCGCTCTGGACTCCGTGCTCCCAGGCTGTGCCCCTTTGTTCAGGAAGCCTTGCTCCCTCCCCAAGTCTGGATCGGGGTGGCCCTGCCAGGACTTGACCCCCACCTCTCTTCCCTGGTGGGTGAGAAGAGACCCTGTTGACACTGCTCACTGCTGAGCCCAGGGCCCACACAGCACAGGTTCACAGAGCCGCAGCCAGTGTCTCCGAGCATGTCGGCCACGGG